CCCCACCCCGAGATCATGATTGACGATCTAATTTTGGAAAGGTGCTCAGGGACCTGAATTTTAACAAGTGCCAGGTGATTCAGCCAAAGAGGGGCCTAGGATAATTCAGGCTTGTCTGCCATTTGGCGGGACGGACCCATGTGCCTCATCCCCTAAGAGATGCCCAGAGGAGAGCTGGGCCTGCCCAGTGAGGGGGCTGCTCTGGGCTCCATGCCCCTCTGGCCTTTCACGGACACTCACACTCTTATCACTCAAATGTCTCACACTTTGGAGTAGCTAAAGATGGTGACCTATTGCCTTTCTTTACACATTCAGATGCTGGCGATCTGCCTCCTCCCACAGCCCCAGGTATGTCTACTTGTTTTTTTCCTGGTCCAGACACCATTCTAATATAGTGCCAATGGTGAGGATGATCACAAATACTTCAAAACGCACTGCTCTGAGCCCTTCACACATTCAAGTCATTGAATCCTCACAATAGCCCCTTGAGGTTGATTCCCTAGTCTCATTTTTCAGCAAGGAGAACTGAGACCTAGAAGGTCAGTAGCAGACCCGGGCCAGCAGCCTGGTTGAACCCACAGCCTGGCACTGCCTTCAGAGTTCATCAACCCCACAGGTGCCTTCCCGAGCCCAGCTGTCTAAACACTAGGTGAAAGTCAAGCAAAGATGGGAGGCCTCTTATTCAGATTACTGTTAATCCTCATGGCAATCCTGTAAAATAAAAATAAATTGTACCCTGATTTTGTCGATGGGACCCTTGAGATTCAGGATGGTTAAGTAACTTTCCCCAGACCACTCAGCAAGTCAGTGGTGGGACCGAGGGTGGACACTCCTCTGTGGGGCGCCAAAGCGCATGGTGTTTGGATGCTTATGGCCTGTGTCCACTTTCAAAGATCTGGTCATTTAATGATTGAATAGTATTTATAAAAACCAAAAATAAAATAAAAGGTTAAAAAAGGCATCCAACCAACATAGGCACGGTCAGATCTGCGGTTCTGGAAAGGAATGGACGGCTTTCTGTCTTCCTGCAGAAGAGGCCTCCCAGGTCTGCTCAGCAGTTCTGCACAATGTAACGTATTGATTAGAGAGGGCGAGCAGCCTAACCAAGTTATCTCGACTGAAAAGCACCACAACTGGAGTTTCCAAACCCCGTGTCTGGCCTTTGGGATGCACCTGACTGTCCCACACGTTCTCTGAGTGTACACACGTCCCCCACCAACAGCTGCATGTCCTTCGGGTGCTTGCCTGGAGAGCCTTGATGTGTCTGGGTGATGGGGGGGTGAGGCAGCTACAGTTAGGTGTTGGGGTAAGCGCAGAGGGAGGACTACAGGTAGTGTCAGGGCCAAGGGCAATTGACATTCAACTGAAGGTGCACTTATCTTTATGGAATTCAGCTAATCTAAATGACGCATGGATGATGGAGAGATGAGGGAGATAATGGGGAGCCAAAGGACTGCTACTGGCTCTCTGATGCTCTCCCCAAAGTCAGTGGTTTAAAACAACAGCCATTTCATTATCGGTCATGGTTTTGTGGGCCAGGAATTTGGGCAGGGCTCAGCTGGCAGATTCTTCTGCTCTACCTGGAATTGAAAAAGTCCACCTGGTGGCACTCACCTGCTGGCTGGTCTGATGTGGCTTCACGCGTGTACCTGGTACCTTAGTGGGGCAGCTGGGCGGCCAAGGGCAGTCAAGGCCTTCTCTTGTTCCACGTGAATTTAGGTCTCTTCCAGTGAAAGGGTCAGTCTTCTTACAAGGTGGCTCAGGGCTCCACCAGTGAGCCAGTGTTCCCAGAGACAGACAGTACAACTTGGCAGTCTCGTAAGCACAGAGTCAATCCTGCCATGTTCCATCAGTCAATGCAGTCACAGAGCCCATCAGATTTAGAAGCTTATCTGATGACAGGATGCCAAACAGTTTGTGGGCTTTTATCTCTCACAATAGTGTAGAGGGCATTCACTCCGCATTAGCAGATTTTTCTCAGTTTGCAGTAAGTACTTCTGAATGCCTCTTAGGAAACCCTTTACATTTCACTGCCTTGTAAGTGAAGCTAACTGTTTCCCCTTGGACATCATCCTTATCTCCTTTTTCTCTCTCCTTTCTAGGTCTTTCCACAGCACCTCAGGATCTTGTAACAGGTAGTCACTTGTTTCACATTAAGAATTAACTCCATTCTAAGAGAGTCATGATGCCAGACACCACGTGGTGTGGCCAGGAGGAACCGGAGGGAAAGACGGGCTTGGTGTGAGGGAGGGACTCGCCTCTCTGGCCCCACCCGGTTCGAGGATGGCTACTTCCCTAAGAGACCAGAACCGGGAGGGCCCTTGGATGGAGAAGCCCCTCGATCCTCATCCCAGTCTTGCTGAGGGACATGACACTAGCATTTCTGTCACTCTGCAAATGCTGACCTTTTGAACCAGAGGAGCAGATTGAGAAGGGAAATGAGTGTCTGCTCAGCCAGAGTTTGGAGGAGGGTAGTCACAGGCTTTAAGAGAATGTGACTCAGTTCACGTGAGCCTACCTGCTTGGGATACAGACTGCAGCAGGTAAGTAGCTGTCCATCATCTGCTACTGACAGGGATTTCAGCGTCGTGGTGACCAGGTCACAGCTGTGGTAACCTCCAAAAGCAATCAGCAGAGGGACTAGGGGACAGCTGGGAGTGTCTCCAGTCCTTCCCCCCTCCTCGTTCTCCCCCTCCCGCTTCCATCTCTCTCACCTCTCCCTCTCCCATCTGCCCCTTCCTTTCTCTTCCTGTTCTCTCCCTCCAGCCCTCCCTCCAATAGCCACTCGTGCTTTTGCAGGAAAAATCTAAAATCTGTGGGATTCTATAAGCAGTTCAACTCAGCCTGGGTGGGACACAGAAGTATTCAGCAGCTTCATAACGTAAAGCCTAGGTCAATCAAGCATGCTGCACTTCCAAATGTCTTCTAAAATGTGCGCCTTCCTCGCCCGCTCCTTCTCCCGCTGTCTCCTGCTGCTTTAGGAACGAATGCACGTGTCTGTGTGTTTGCAGGCTCTCTAGCTATACAAAGACGCAGCGAATGGGAGGGAGCGGGGTTTCACTGTGGCCTTGGCTGACGCTTGTGGATCCCAAACCTGACCAACTCCATCTCAGAGTGGGGACCAAGCGGAAGGAAATGCCAACGA